ATAAAGATGGAATTATTTCCTTAAACTTGGTAACAGCATTGCCAGATAGACATCTGCTGTAGTGGAATTGTTTCCCACATGGAGTATAATCCATTAATGGAAATTCAAAAGTTATTAGAAAATGGTCAGACAGAAGAGGGTTATGGGGAAAAACTATTAAGTGTTCAGTTTTAATGCCATATGTCAGAACAAGATCAAGAGTGTCTATCAACCCATTGGTTTGCCACTTTGATGCAGAATGCAAGATTGGATAGGCTGCATTGAAATTTGGTCTAGACGTTCATGGTACGCAGAGGATGAACCCTAATAACACTCTTGATTCTATAGCTGTTTCTCCAGCACCATCTTCAGGTAAAAATTTGTCCAGAAATCCCCTCCATAAATAAATAAATAACTCAAAGCGCCGCTGTGCATAAGTACAGCTTCGCAAACATGCAAGCATAGCTGCAGTCTTGCTAATTTTTTAACCTTTAAAATCAAAATGTTTTCATAAATACAAATAAAATTGTAATCTCACTAGACTGGAACTCGTAAATTACCCATTCACCACTGCTAATAACACATATTAATGTCATCAGACTAAGGTAAAGGATCGAGTAGCACCTTTTTTCCTTTAAAACAGAGAAGTGTACATGGAGATACACAAAAGAGAAAGATAAATATACTGCTCTCAACAGTGATAACTGATTAAAGCTACTGTAGGTGTGATTAAATTCGTGCAAGAAGGCAATCAACCAGCCAGTATATCATTTGCTAAACTTCAATAACAGTATTTCTCTGGGAGTATGTGTTTGTGGAAGAGGAAAAAATACAGCTTTTTACATAATGTTTATTGCAGTGACTTCTGGTTGCTCCACTCATAAATAGCACCAGACATGCTTGAAAATTAAAAACTCTTCAGCACACCTGCATCCAATTACACTCAAATGGTCTTAACAACCCGGGTCTCATCAGCGCTACTGCACAGTAAAGGGTTTCTCCAGGCACCTTCTTGTCACACTGATGGTGGAGACATATTATAGACATACAGTACATTTATAGAAAATGAAAAAGTACATGAGAGAGAGACTGTGAACTGCACTGCAGTAAAAAAATATAGAAGAAAACCACAAGAGATTGATTAGGATTGATCTGCTGCACTCTGAATCTGGGTCACATTTAAGCATTTAACTAGAGTGACCTTGTAACATTGGGTGGTTCACATTACAATAGATTTCCAATGGATTAACTGTGGGAATCTAATAGGATTTGTCCCAGTTAAGTGTAATAGATCCAGATATTGATCATTTGATAGGCTTTTTTTTGCCTTTCCTGCTGGTCAACAATAAAGATCATACTTTTGTGTCTTGTAATTTTTTAGAGAAAATTGTGTTCTTTTTTTTCTGGAGTATCAGACAAAATATGCAGCCAATGGTGAAGGACATGGCTGTATGTCCAGCATCTTCAGTGTATGCTATGAACAGCCATTATGCATCACTCCCTACCATAATAGCTTACCATCTTGTAGCCCCGGCAGCTGGTGCAACTGATTCACATCAAAATTTGTTGTTGTTATCTGTGACCTGCAACTGTATGAGCCATGAATATTAAAATGGGAGTAAAAGGAAGGCTTTTGTATAGAATGCATCAATTTGTGTTGTTAAATGAGGCCCATAGTTCAGGCAAGACAATTCATAATTCACAATCACTTTTCTTTCATCTTTTCATTATGTTCTTTTGAGCTAAACCTTTTCTCCTCTTTAGATGCTGCAGCACAAATGACTGTTTGCATTTGCAGATTGAGTCCAGCTATGGCCAAAAAATAATAATGCTAAGACCAAAGTGCCATAATGTGACTAGTTCTCCAAGTATTTGGTCATATCTAATGAGGGAAACATATGCATTATTGACAAGTTTCATGGCAATGCTATTAAAGGTTGCTGAGATTTTCAGTCTAAACCAAAAAGTCAAGCTGCTGGTGAAGCCAGAGGAAAAGTCAGAGGGATGACCAAAGTTATTATGGGCCATCATTAATTTTCCCCACAATTTATCCCCTTGTTGAGAAATTTGACTGGATAATTAAAACTCTGACATGCTGCTGACTCTAGATTCATTCATTATTCATTATTCATGATTCAAGTCATTAGGATTAATTCTTTAATCCTCTTAGCATTTGTGCAAAATGTCATGGCTATCCATCCACTAGCCGTTTAGCTATTCAATCTCTGTGGATCAAACACTGCCATACCAAGAGCTATGAAAAATATTTATAAATATCTTTTGCCACTGTAGGTTCTTTGTGAACTTCCCATCAGCCAAACAATACTTCAGCCAATTCCAGGACATGGAGGATCCTGAGGAGATGGAGCGGAGCACCCAGCTTCGACATCATGCTGGCAGGGTGATGAATGCCATCAACAGTGTGGTAGAGAACCTCCATGACCCAGAGAAAGTGTCATCAGTGCTGGCCCTGGTGGGAAAGGCCCATGCTCTCAAGCACAAGGTGGAACCCATGTACTTCAAGGTACTTAAGGATAATCGGATAATCCACTGTCTGATACTAACATACATCAGCCTGCCACATTCTGATTTACTGTGATCACTGTTTTTCTCTAACCCCTAGAATTTCTGCTGCCAACACTTTTTTAAATTACATTGCCACAGGAGTGTCATTTAACTGTGAGGAGATATACTTTTGGCTACTTGATCAGTGTGCCCATGAAACAGAGTAGATTGTCCTGAAAGACAATTACCAAGCACTCTCTCTGCATGAGCAGCACAGTGGAAGTATTTTCCTGCTTCAGCAGCCCCTTGAATTATGAAATTATCCCATTTGCATCCCCCCCCAAATTTTCTCATTACCATTCTAATATCACCTGGGATTCCTCTGCCTATTTAAATTCACTCAGGCCAAAAAAATCCTCTTTTGCATTCATGTTTCAAATGCAGCTATCATTCTTCTTGCAAGCTGTACTGTACTGTATATCATATCTATAAATTATACTCAAGGCAGGTGTACAGTACAGTAAAAATAAATGTTATGGGACAAATGACACATTTCACCCCGTTTTCCTCAGGTTTTCTTGATCACAGATGTTCTGAATGTTGTAAATATGTAATCACATGACAGAGAAACTGTGAAGAGAAATCAAGCACAATCCAGGAAATAATCCCACCTATTTTAAAGAATAACCTATAGGCTGAGTAGTGCCAAACAGTATTCACTGCAAAACTGCTTTTGCAGCAACTGCAATGTTTGATTTTTGCTGGGCTATTAAGAGGAGTGGAAAGAAGTTGTGAAAACAACATTGACGTGTCATCACCTTTTCTTCTGATATACCAAACAATTGCTTAGTGATATTATCTACAGTTAAACAACATTATCATTCACTTGAAGTTTCTGGCTGCTTGGCAAACCAAAGTCCAATATTTACCCCCTGTTAGCTCAATTTTTGTTCTCCACCCCCTCCTGAGGGAGATATAATACTGGACGGCCAGGGGGAGGACTGGATTGTCACACGTACTGTATGTGCAACTGAGGAGATCTCCATGTCCCCACTTCTCACTGTCCTTCATTGCTGTAGCTTTAACACCACGGCTTGTTTATTGCATTTTAATTCACCTGTCTCTCTTTATTTGTACTTTTAATTTATAGCTACTACTTTTTTATTCTCACATCTGAGTCGTCCTCTGCTTTGTCATTTCCATTCCCTTTGTATAGCCTCTGCCTTTATGTTTTATCATTTTCAGTTCTCACCTCTCGCACACTTTTCTGTAACAGTGAAATTAATTTTTTCCCGCCACTGCTCCACTCCCAGTTTACCGAATGAACACTATTTCCCTTCATCACTCTCTCTGCCCTCCACTATTAGCTTGATAGCCACATACGCCCACTTGCTCTACTCCTTTCTCTTTCTCTTACAACCCCCCCATCAAGGTTCAAGGTTATTTCACACCTCCTTTTTCCCAGATCCTGAGTGGCGTGATGCTGGAGGTGTTTTCTGAAGATTTCCCAGAATTCTTCACGGCCGAGGTGCAGATGGTGTGGACCAAACTGATGGGGATAATTTACTGGCATGTGACAGGGGCCTACACAGAGGTTGGATGGCTCCAGGTCTCCAGCTCAGCAGTGTAAAGAATTAGGAAGAAGAGGGGGTAAAGGAGTTTTCAGTGGACTTAATGAAATTAAAAACAAAAAAAAAGGAGAATTATGTGTGTGTGATAATGTAATATGTGGAAGGACACAAGTAGGTTCGCAAGTTCTGTGAGGATGGTTTTACAGACATGGATAAGATTAACGTGGTAATCCGTGCAACGCCGTACTTTGTTTTGATGATATTTTGGTGCTGTTTCTACACTGCACTTTTACTTAAGCACCAAACGATGTAGCCACACATTATTTTACTCTCTTAATGAAGGTTTAGCCTATGGTGCTTTGGTACATGTTTTTAGTCATGGAGGCTATCACTGCTAATGCTAACTATTCATTTCTTCTACTGTTTATTCCTGTTTCCAAATCTATAACACATAATTTCTTTTGTAGCATGGGATCTTCCCCATTAAAGATGTACCAAGTGCTTAGATGAGCCAATCCAAAAGCTTTAATGAACTGGCAGATTTAATTGATGTACTGGTACATTAATTGACAACTGACTCTTAGCTAAACCCCATCCTGTTTGGATATTGTTGATAGGCCTGTCTAGCCCGGCGCCTTTCATTTCTAGGTTACAACAACTGATTTTGCATTTGTGATGACAACTATGGCTATTGGATTTGATCAGCGATTGCTAGCTAGTTAATGTTTGATGCAAATTAAAAATTAAACTTGTTTTAAATTGAGAACCCACATGCACTTAAAAGGTATGTAACAGCTAAATGCTATCAAAGTAAAAGACTCAGCCTAAAGTGAAATAGAAATACATGTTTTGTTTGTTTAGCTAATTTGGTAGGAAAAAATATGATACGTATGGTATGATAGGGAACATTTTTTATATTGTAGTAAAAAACATTTTAAGAAAAAATTAAATGTATTATCAAAATTAGCAATTACAAAATGCTTTACATGAAAAAAGTGGACAATCAAAATGCGCATCCATTACAGCAAATATATAATTAAAACATAAATAAATCAATAAATAAAGATTATAAAAAAGAGACACCACAGTTCAAACGCTCCGTGTATTAATTTCATTACAAGCAGAGGCGTCCATAGCATTACAGGTACGCTGTCCTTTGTTTCCTCAAAGATTTATGATTGGCCAGGGTGGGGTTTTAGTGAACGGTCAGTAGTAGATGGCATAAACAGACATTTATTTCTGTAAATGTTGCGGATTATTACTTTACAGAGTTCATTTCTGTGGAAATCTCTGGTGAGAAAAGCATCTTCTGGCTAAGCTGCACATATGAATACACCTCAAGACATTGTGAAAGAGAGAAGAAATGTTTAGACAAGGGATGATTTTTAAGCTATGAGAGGGGGGCCGTTAGTTGATGAAGCCCCAGCTGCAGGACTATGGAGCTGTTGACTGTTAATAGATTCTCTTTGTGTCCTACCACAGTATATCCTCATGTTTAGGAGACCTCTGTCCCTTTCTCCTTCTATTGATGCACTACGTGCTCTTAATGTCTTGTTAAACTTTACTGGGGTGTTGTTTGTATAAGTGTACAGTGGGCGTGTCCTTCTTTACAACTCACTGGCATGTTCATCTCTCGATGAGTTAAAGAGGGATGTTTCTTCCTGGCTAAAAGTCTTAGACCAGCAACAATGCTTTAAGACTTTTCTTCTTGCCTGTCACTTTCATTACACAAACACAAACTAACATTATAAAAGTGGGATGGAAAATTTCAGCAGGTGGACACAATCAGCCATCACACGTGTACAGATTCACACACAGGCATTCTCAAAGACCTCTCCTATACTAATATTTACAGGACTGTCACTTAGTTTTTCTCTTCAAAAGCCCATCAGAGAGACAGGTTGCATTTATGACTCCATTAAGGGCTTTAGAGAATCACCCTGGAGGTCTACAAGGAACATTTGTTTTAGATGTGCCATCAGTCTGTTTAGATTTCAGGCCAATCCCACACCAGAAATTAAAACCAAAAATTATGTCCAAGTACATGCAAATACATGAAACATACAATGTGAAATGCTCGTCTTTGACAAGGGGAATGTTGGAAGGCTAATGGTCTCGGTGACAATTCCTCCCAAAACTCTGCAGACATCATACTTTGTAATCAGCCCCTCCTCAAACCAACAAGTCCAGCAAGTCCTCTAACCTAGAGGCATCTCATTAAATAGCACCCCTACTGTAGATGGAGGAAGTGCAACAATTCCACCAACATACATCACACCAGCAAGTTTTTTGGACCTTTGTTGTCATGTAAACTGTCATAAACACAATTGCTAGCTAACAGGCTAGCTAAAAGTAGCCTAATGTCATGATTATGAAACTGTCATGGTTTGACTACATTTTGCCACGCAAATTACTTGGTTAGATTTCGGAACAAAAACTATTGAAAAACACCAGTCACATAGCAGAATTAATCTCCAAATCCACCCCAACCTCTTTGTATCATGGACTTTGTACCTCTGTATAATATGTCATGTTACTCACTCCTTTCCTTGTGTCATAATAAATACTGTAACTAGAAGTCGTCAAAACATTAATACATAACAGTTTGTTGTAATAACCTGTTGGCACAAACAATGTATATGTCATTTTTTACAAGAGGACAGTCTCCTTCAAATATACTGTATACTGTTAAACTAACTTCTTTACCTTACTCAAATTCACCTTCCTGTCACTGGTGCTTCAGTAATCAGAGCCTTGGACTGCATTCATTGCCTTTTGAAGTCCCCATCAGTAAGCCTCTCTCCAGTCAATTCCCAAACACACAGAAAATCTGTTTAGGATGGACAATTGATCCAATCTTCAGTTTGCATCTGCTTCAGTGACGTCTCGTATCTCCCATCTGACCCCCCTTGGCATCGGCATCTGGCATTAATGAGGAGGTAATGAGTCGCCTCTCCTCCTCATTTGGTCATTCATCTACTGTAACTTCCCATTGCCTTCATTAGGACTGCGCCACTGAGAACAAAAACAATTATGACTGGGCAGATGGTCTTAAACCCGTCACACCATGGCAGCCATTCACAACAATACCTTATACACATTTCTTTCACTGACTTACAGCTACATTCAAGAATAAATATCAGAAATAAAAAAATGTAATGTTTTAAGTGATTTTGTGAGGGTATTAATTACACATTATACCTTGACTTATATCAATAGATTCCAAACCTTTTCATCATCCGAAAATGTTCACAGTCCCCTATTGTGTGAATTGATTTAATTTTTATCATAATGGAAGAATATTGGACACTAAAAAACTAATCTAAACAAAAAACATTTGTGCTAAATTTTATTGACATAATATTATTATTACTACATTTGTAAAACTGACAGAAGGCCCTCCTGCTTTACTGACAGGGAACTCAAGACAAAGATTACCTGCTCATCTTGTTTCTCATCTTTCTTTGTGAATACACCTTGCTAATGTGACTTCTCATAACCTTTGTAGCATCAAAGCACTTTGCTTCATCATCTTTCACAAACAAATCTAATTTATACACAGCTCTCCTTGTCAAGCGCAGCTGGCACTAATAACATTAACGATGACTCTGTACCAATAGTCACTGCCACACAGTAATTACAAAGCTATTAGATGCACCTGTGTTTGTCAGGTCAAAATGTCAACTTTACCTTCAATGTACATCTTTCCCATGATCATATATGTTCCTCCTGGTTCTGTGCACTCCACTAGTTGAAGAGCGACTGTCTTAGACCAAACTATTAAATCAACATTTAGCATGTTTCCATCCTCTTTAACCTGAGATCTTGTCGTAACAGGATTACAACGGTAATAGCAACCCCGGCCAATTTCTGCTCAGTATCTGTAGGAATTTGCCATTTATATCCCACTCTTGCAGAGGTTTACAAAAAGCTCCCATTAAACAAGTTCCTTTGAGGGTGAGCTGGAGAGTCATAACTCTGTCACACAGGACAAGTGGATACAAACACACACAGAAGTCGACAAACCTCAAAGTAAACTGTTTTCACTTTGGCTCAGATAGGTCTGGATGCAGTAAAGCTGTTGTCAGTAGTAAAGTCCTACTGTTTGCCTGCCTCCTGACGTCAGTGCCCTCAGAAGTCAGACCTCAAGCAACTTGAGGTTCGGGAATATTTGTGTTAAGCAAAGTTCCCCTGACATCTTGTTTATTAAACAGTGTGGTGTGAAGCCAATTTGCAAACACACACAGTGGACTTGTATCTGTACTGTTTGTGTACCGTTTCCTTGCTAAGCTACGGATTTTATGTCCCTCTGTGTTTGTATGCAGCATGTTCCTCATCACAATATAAACACAGACACACCCAAAATTATGTGCAAACACATCCCAATTATGATAACTCAGTTTCTTTATCACTTTTCTTAATCACAAACACACACACACACACACACACACACACACATGGTCTTGCATTAAATTGGCCGAGTAGGACATGTCCTTGCATGCAATTGTGCCACAGCAGCACCTAATCACATATATGTTTTTAAGCAGAAAATTAGGCAAACTTTCTTTCTCTTTCTGCAGATGCTAAGGACATATGTGGTTTTGTCGTGAAATGTTTTAGTCTGTCAGTTGGAAAGTTAGGACTTTATATTTTTCTATATATACTGTATCCATGAGAATGAATCTACTGTATGTATTTGAATACTGTATATGAATATTGTACTGTTTACTGCATTGTTGGTGGGAGCGAGTGCCGTGGCTTTGTAGTGTTTTGAGCATGTTTACACAGCCTACCTTAGACTTGTACCTTATCAGACCTGGTGAAAATAAATTATGACCATCAATAAAATATACTTGTAAATTTGTCTCTGTCCAGTTCTGACTGGAATTTTTAAAATATACACTAGATTTCATACATAGGTGATTCACAACATAACCTTATTCTCATCATAAGGATTTTTTTAACTTGTACTTTTAGATCATTCTGCAAGTGTTTCCATGGTGTATAGTAGCAAATTGCAGTTTTCCCCAGATCCGTAGAAATTCAGGGTACATTGAAAAACAACCACCTGGAAGAGCATAGCTGGTAACCACCAGAGCTGAGACAGAAAAAGGTACAGAGATAAGATGGAAGTTTAACCAGTATCACTTTATAGATTACAATATACCAGTGTTGTTTTGTATGAAGGGCCAATGATGTCCATCCCACTAAACCTTAAAGATTGCAGTGATGCATGGTACACTGATTCAAGGCTTTGTAAAACAGAGGAGGCTGCTTGCATATATAATATATCACCTCAATCAAAGGCAGAAAGGTTGTTTCCACAAGATTTTTTTTTACCATTGTATGTAAAGCAAGATTTATTTCTAAAATAAAAGCTTGTCTTCACCTTGAGCTTCTTAGCTAGATTAGCAATATGCACACTGAATAAAATACATTCATTTGAAATGAAATGATCAGTTTCCAGTCAAGAATTGAAGATAGAAGTTAACTAAAGTATGTGGCTGTTGTAACTGCCAGTCCATGTTACATTCAGGTTACATCACCTGGAGAAAAACCCAGCTTTTTTTTTTTTTAGGGATTAAAGTCAACTTCTAAATCACTGAAATTCCAACAGATCTGGATAAAATGAATCACTTAGAATTTAAAATATATAAGACTAATTCAATTTAATGAAATTATAAAGGCAAAATGAGTGCACAAGGTGGGTTCTTGGTGTCCTAATCAGTATGAAAGATTTTTAAAAAAGTAATTAAGAGAAGAAACAAAAAACACAAAGTAATTTAAATGGACACATACAGTATAAGTGGAAAATGAGAAGAATAAAAAATAAAATTAAGCTAAAATAGAATAAAAGAATAAAGAGAAAAATAAGAAATTACAGTGCAGTGTAAGACATTAATAAAATACCTCAAAGTGGCAAACTGAAACATTCTTAGGTTCAATTTAAAAGAATTGAGAGTTTTTGCAGAAATGTGGTGCTCAGAGAATGAATGCTGCTTCTCCATGGGAGGTCCAGATGGTTCATAACATAGCAGCAGAGCAGAAATGTATTTTGGCTCTGAACAATTCACTGCTTTAGAAACCTGTAGTATTTTAGAACCAATTGTTTGACACACATGAAACAGGTGCAAAGATCTGACAGCTACTGTGATGTGTTACGCTGTCTTATATTAGGGAGGCCTGAAGCAGCAGAATGTGAGCACAACTGGTTTTGCATGTGTATTATTTTTGTTGAAATGGTTTTGCTCTTTGAGCACATATGAGCGTGTTTGTTTCTGCCTTTCCAATCTAATTCTGGGATTAAATCTCTTCAACCAAAGGTGAACTTGACCCCGATAACCCACCATCACACATACTGTATCTCCTGCCTGCAGGTAGTCAGAGCAGATATACTCGGCTTGGCAGTTACTGTGTCAGGAGCAAGAGATGATTAAATGTAAATGCTCTTAATCAGTGATTAATGGATGCTTGTTCGCTGCTTGACACTCCAGGCAACACACTATCTACGGCTCCAGTGAGAGGTTCATGCAGGGAAGAAGACACTCATTTGTCAAATTCATACGATAATTTATTCAAACTGTACATGTTATCATCAAATTGAAAAGTTGGCTTGTTATGCCTGAGAGTAGGGAAGCGTTTAGACATTTTTTTGGTTTGCTTTCATAAAAAGCTTTCATGTGTGATGTGAATTTCGGCTTTTATCACGCTACATCACAATGTAACCGTTGGCTTGAAATTGAAGATGTACATGTTGCCTGTGAGAATCAGCACATTGCTCAGGAAATCATAAAATAGCTTCTTGTTGCCAGGCTTGACTAATAGGAACAGGTGAACCAAGTAAACAACCCCGCAAGAGTCAGAAGATAGAGTCAGTCTCCTCTGAGTGTTTCCATCGTGTACCGGGTGGTCAACAGGATACTCACTTGTCACCATGGTGACACATTTTCTCACTGCCAGATGTTATCATTTCCGGAGAGCACTGGTAACAGGGAGTCATATATCCCATGGAACTGATTCACAAACACACCTGGAAAAAGTAGTTCCACCCCAGCCTTTAATCATGAATGTGTGCAGACACGATCACATACATGACATACAGTACACATAATGAGATTAAACAGTTATTCAGAATGTAAACTGACACTGAAAAGTACACAGATTCCTGTATTAGGTGTTTGTTTGTTTTAACTTAAATCAGGCATAATTTATATTTTTATAAAAACAATGTGTCACATGACAATGTGTGTCTCAATTCATTGTTTCGCTGTCCTGCCTGCAACTTTAGCGCAATATCATGCATCACAAATTTGCATCAAGAGGCTTTACGATCTGTACAGAGTACAACACCATCTGTCCTTATACCCTTAAATCAGATAAGGACCCCTCAAATAACAAACACACAAAACAACTAACAGACAAAGTTAGCAGCTAGCCTTTGAGGAAAGTGGAGCATTTAATAATAATAATAAGCAGTATAGATGATGGATGGATGTTTATAGCTTCTTTCAATGCCTGCAAATGGTGCAAAGTCAGTTCACGCAGCTTTAGAAGACTCTTTAAGGAGCTGAATGAATTTCATATACATTCAACTATACAGTACAGTGCTTTATAGTATGGTTTGTGCAGCCTGTGTACAGGGTGCTGTACCTGTGAGTGCCACCTACAGACATTATATTGTAACGCATATTGTGCTACAGAACAAATGGAGAACAGACACGGTAAAAGTGGCAACAGAGAGAGCGACAGTTTGAATGCCTACATTGATGCCTATTTCTTAACCAAAAAAAACGAACTAAAACTAAACTCTAGGTTCAC